TGCCTGTGCCTGCCCCCTCCCCCACCAGCATATTTCAAGCACTTTGGATGTTTGTATCTGTCTTCCTTTCAAGGAACCCTGAGCACATGAATGGGCAGAGCAGCAGAATGAATGGGACACTTCAAAGAAAATGAAAACCATTACTGGGAAATCTGTTTATAGAGAGAATGAATGATTATGAGAGAAGATGCCAGGAGAGAGAGAACACAAGTGAGGGTGCTCTCTGCACAGTGCACAGCATAACTCAGGGGGGTTCAGACATCCCCTTAGCAGCACAGCCTTGGAGCACTTTGGGGTTAAAAGCACCACCCCCCCACCTCCAGACTTCCCAGCGAGCCCAGAGCCCCCCCCAACACCCCAGGGAATGGCAGCATTCCCAAGCCCCCCATGCACCTGCTCCTGAGCCCCCACTGGGGTGATCCCCCCTCCCTCCCAAATGTCAAGATAGGATATTAAAAGAAATTATTTCCATTGCCTGGTGTAGATGAGAAATGGATAAACAACACGTCACTCACGTCCCAAGTGGGTAAACTCCATTTAGCCTCGACACCACCACACTGAGACCCTGCCCTGAGAACTGCAGATTTTATCTGAACCTCACAACATTCTCCCAGAGTCTCATCCATCTCCACTATTGCCTCATGCTCAGCTTGCAGAGCTCTCTCCATTGCACATGCACTGCCAGCACTGGTTTGATGCTGGTTTGGCACTGATTTGGTGCTGTTTCCTCTGGATCCAGATGTAGCTTCTTCTGAATCCATCCAATCCAGCTGCTGCAGGAAAACCAGCACCTGGGCATCTTTTTTGGGGGGAAAATAGGAATGAAAAGGGCTGGCTTTTCCTATCTTGGCACAGATGGTACAACCAGTGCAATCTTCCCCACAGATTTCCACGCCTCCATTCACATCCAGAGGCAGATCTCCCAAGGCAGAGCAAACAGTAAGGCCCTATTTAGAGCCAGAGCCTTACCCTAGAGCGAGGAGATGGCAGGAGAAAACAGCTCTCAACCACCCCTGTTGTTTTTGGCATGGAGAAGCAGAAAATATTTGTCCTTCTTTGAATGCTAAGAATATTTGTATGATGAGCAGTGTGGTTTTCACAGCGCTCTCAGGAGGTGAACGCCAGTATCCCTGGGGCTGGGGCAGAGGCAGGACAGATGCAAACATCAGATCTCCAAGAGCTCCACAAGTGATGCTAACACAGGATGATGGAACCACCAGTTTTCCCCAGTTTTTCTGATTTCTGCAGGAGAAAAAAATCCTTGCTAGGTGCACAAGACCCCAAGGAAGATCAGTGCCTTGGCACTGGAACAGTCCATGTTCCTTAGAGTTAGTTTAGCAAGGCAAGGGCAGAGCTGGGACTCCAAGCAGCATCACACTCACAGAAAAGCAACAACTGGTGAGTGCAGCTGGGAAGCTGCCTGGACACTTTCCTCAGAGCTTCTCCTGCCTTGGCATCCCTCTGTTCCTCCCCTCTCCATGGGATCTCCACTTTGGCAGCCGATCAGAGCCGCTGCCCACCCAGTTCTTTTGGAGGAGCCCTTTCATGTAGCTGGGCACCATCACCTCTCTGCTCCAATCATCCCCCATTACAATTTGGGCTTAAATAATGCAAAGTGAAGACTGAAACAGGCTGAGCTCCAGCAGGGCGTGAAGGCAGCAGCAGCAGCTGTGCCAGCCAGCTTTCAGTGCCTCGTTCCAGTTGCAGCTCTCGAGGGAAGGACAGGGAGCACAAGGCACTGCTGGATTGGCTCAGGGGGGGATTCCCACTTGCAGGGCTCATTTCTCACATATAATCCCCCCAGCCTCTTCTCAGAGCTGTAAGAATTTGGCCAATAGAGATATGTACCTGCAAAGAGATTCTCACCTATTTGTTATCCATTTAAATACTTGATTTAAGGTGCTCACTTTGTAGACGAAGCAGATAAAGTGTCCTTCCCTCTGAGCCAGTATATGTGGGCACAAGGCATTAAAAAAACCCAACAACCCCAAACCCCTAAAACAGCACTATTTTCTCAATTCTTCTTCTGAGTTTGGGTGCTAACTGCCAAAATCCTTAATTCCTGTCCCAAGAAACATCTCCAGCTCTTTATAAAGAGTTCCTTTGGGTGCACTGACCATTAGCTGCTACCACACCAATGCCAGCCTAATAGAAAAAAGGGAGCAGGAAACACAAAACACTTCCCACTTTACCCCAGGACAATCTCCCACCGGAGTCATCCAACAGGGGTGACCACACAAGCGTGGAGAAAGCTGCCAGACAAAGCCACACAATGCCAAAGTCCTCAGCCTTCACTCCCTTGGTTTAACCGTGATGTCACCAAAGCCCATGGCCGTGTATTTATCTAACAGGAATAAATGATTTGGAACCACAGGCTGCAAAATTATAAATATGTCTGGAGAGGTGACATCCTAATAAATGAGATGAGAACAAAGCTCCAGTGACTTCTGTCATCATCACAATCCCTGGATGGATGCAGAACCTCAGATACAATTCCACAGCTTTTGTTGAGGGTAATAGTGTGGCTTTTTTAAAATTTTAAATAAAGAATAAAAAGCACTAGGTCTGATTTCTCTCCATCACACTTGCCCTGGAACTGGTCAGCACCCAATTTGATTTACTCTCTTCTCTGTATTGCAGAAGTATCAAGTCTTACTCTAAGATTATACTCTCAAAAGAAAGAATAACAATTTAAGCTAATTAAGTGAGCTTTTTCTGCATGAAAACCATAAAAGGATATGAGCAAATTATTTGGTTTGTACCTAAACAGTTTCTGAAGAGTGTCAAAGAATGAGGAAAAGGGAAAGAAATCAGATTTTATGTTAATTCAGGATTTTAGTTTGAACTGGACTTGAAGGGATGCTGAGCATTTCCAGGTTCCATTAATTTGGGGGAAATACTGGAGGGTCCAGGGTTGAAACCACCCTTAAAAAAGTAAGGAACAAAGGAAAAGTTTCTAGGAAGCCCAGATCTCTGGCATAGATGCCAAAACACAACTAGAAGAAAATCCAGTGAAATCCAGGGTTGGAAATCACTTTAATCCCTGCAAATTTTACATTTGCATCCAAAGTCACTGAGGCATGTGGCTAACGCTGAGCTCTTGTGTGCTACTGCCAGAAAGTCTCAGAACAGCACAAAAATCCACATTGCAGCAAAGTTCAGCAGGGCCTGGGATACCAAAACTTGTTCATCTTCCTTGGAAATCCCGATGTGAAGCTGGAGAAGCAGCTCTGGAAAGCAGAGCTTCTCCTGTCACAAACAGCAACATACCCAAGTGAAAACCAATTTCACCGCTCTCCCTCAAAGCTGGAGAGAGAGACTGGTGTGGGAGGCAGGAATTGGCCCACTGGGTACAGGCCAGGGCTGAAATCCTTTGCCCCAAGCCAGAGGAACACAGCTGGGTCCACATCCACGCAAGAAAGTGAATTTACTGACAACAGCTTTCCTTTTCTTATGAGATTCTGGATCAGTTTTTATTTTTTCAGTCCACAGAGCCAGTTCTGCAAGCCACATGCTGGCCTGAGTCTTGGGAGGCCAAAGCAGTATTTCCTTCCCCCCAAACAGACTTCCTAAAGGAGACAGGAATGTCCTACAGCACCTCTGTCCAGGTAAGGAGCTCTGGCACCAGGAAAAGGGGGATTAGAGCCACACAGCTTTTGAGAACAAGCACTTTACTGGCATGAAAACCTGGGAATCTACAGCTGAGACATTGCAGGGGTTTTCTATTCCTACAGCCAGACAGCACCAAACTTCACCTCAAACCTCACAAAGGGTGGGGTTTTCTTGTTTGTTTTCCAGACCCCCAAGCCCATCATTGCTTTTGATATAAACCAAAGGTTCAAACCCCTCCAAATGTGAGCAAAGCTTTGCTCCAAGATGCAAGCTCCAAGGCTGGGGTTTTAATGGTGTATTTACTGATGAGGTGAAATATGAATCTGGTTTTGACTTTAAAAAGCCAATTGTATTTTGGGGGCGGAGGGAGGGGGGAAGGGGTGCTCTGACCTGACCCGCTAATCTCTTTTTCTTCCTTTAAAGTTGTCTTCTAAATCTGAACATTAAAGGTGATTAGATACCTAAGGGACTTCCCATGTCATTAGTTAATACTTTAGAGCTTGTTTTGGTTCCAGCTAGCAGTAATGCAGAGCCCTTTTGATAATACATCACCCTGCTCAAATATGCCTGCACAGTCTCCAGATGAAATACCCCACCCGTGTCTGCCTCTGCACAGCTCGCAGATTGGAGGGGTCGGAGACGAGTTTAATTTAAAGATGAGCCGCCCCTGGGCTGCCAAAGGAAATGGCGTGTCAGCTACGTCAAAAATAGATACTGTTGTGCAGATATATGGGGGGAGAGATGGACGCTGCCAGTGCTATCAATTACCTGGATTGCCTTTAAATGTCAAAGCAAATCCTCACCCATTCCTTCTCTAAAACCTAAATCACTGAGAGAGACAAGGTCAACCCAAGCAGGCTGGAATGCCGGGAGAGGAAAGCATGGACACAGCGTTGCGTGCGTGAGGGGATAATTTGTGTGCACACACGGACTGGGGGAGCACTGAAAGCACAGGGGGTTCAGATTCTGGGTTTTCAGGTGTCATCAAAGGCAGCATCAGCCCCCAAAATAAAGATCCTTTCCAATTCAGCAAAAGTGGCCTAAATGTATCAAAAGTTCTCCCACTGCTCCTATTTTTGTGCTGTTAAAGGGGTTTTCCCTGTGGGGATATAGGTGCCTTTGACAAATTCAAAAGCAACCCCACAAATCTGAAGTGGTTTTGGGGAAGACCAGAACAGACTCTCTTCTCTGTATCCTTTTCCCTCTTGCTGCTGAGCAAATAATGCACTGTAACATATGTGCACCTACAAATCTGCATCCTTCAGGGCAGCCCTCCTGGGGAACAGCACAAAACCATCCCTTGGGAAGGGCCCCAGCCCTTTTGGGAACAGGATATGGAGAAATTGAGGACTGGGGGAAAGGGGAAATCATCAAATCCTACAGGTGGGTAAATAAAAGGAGACACAGTTTATTACAATAGAGAAGCAAAACATAAGGTTTAAGCTCGGTCTCTTAAGAAATGAGGTTTCTGCAGTCAGTCTGCACGTGGGATACATATATAAAATATAAATAAAACAAACATACTCATCTCCCCCGTCTCCAATAACTTCCAAATTTGTTGGCCAATTCCAACCCAGCTTGGTGGAAGGGGCAGAGGTCTTACAGTTCCTACAAGTTTTATGAAAATAGAGCCCTCTCCCGTGCCCTGAGACCTATTAATGCCCCACACTGAAAGAAATTGTTGAGCTCACGTTGCAGCTTATTAGGAATATTATTAGACACCAGAGAATCCACAGGGGAGGGAGGAATATTAAGAAAGCCCCAATGGCAGGAAAAGGTTCAGTTGGAGTTTGCACCTTCTCAGACACCAGAGGATCCAACCACAAGACACCAACTGCTTGAAACCCCCATTTCACTGCATCCCCTGCTAAGAACCACTTCTTTTACATAAAGATATTTTGTGTATTCCCAGCCCAGCCTCCTGTACCTGAGCCAGCCAATTAAGCCAGGCTGTAATTTACAGCTCCCTGCTTCCCTCTCCTTCTTCCTAGGAGGGAATCGTGAGCGATGCCGGGACACACGGAGCAGGAATGTGCTCGCAGGGTACATTTATCACTTGCATTTTCACTGGGGGCACTGATTTCTGTGCTCTTCTTCCTTCAACAGGATCATCTCCTCTAGATAACTCCACACACCAGACCTACATTAGCACTGATTCCAGCATCCAAGGGCCTGGTTGCTTCCCAGGCATGGGATGGAGGGTAAAAATGTAAAGAATTCCAGATAAACACATTTGGAAAGCCACTTAAAGCTACTGGACACATGAAGGCGAGGAAGGCAGGGGAATATTTTTGCAGTGAACAGACAAAGAAGGACATCATTCATCTGTCAAAGTGTGTGAGCTGCTCTCCAGCTCCAGACGTGGAGTTTTGGAGATTTTCAAACACCAAAGAGTAAGAAAAGGAGCCCTAAAAAGAGCAGTGAGGCCACAAGGGAGGTGGAGAACATGGATCAGCTCTACATTAAGGCTTACCTGACAGCTGTCACAGGTTTGATCCCACTGGTTTGATGGATTTTGGGGAATATTCAGCACGAGTGGGAATAAGGCTCCCACGGAAGGGACTGCACAGAGGAACAAGCTTTTAGTACCACACAGCCAAGAATGTCCCAAGACAAAGACAAACCACCTGGAAGGTCGCCCTCCCTTCCCAAAGGGAGATAAACCAGCTGATAATAGATAAAATCAGCCCAGACCCACTCCCAGTCCTACAAACCCATCTCCAGCATCACTGGGCATTGCTCCAAACCTTTGAGCTTGATTGTCTCCTTTCCTACCTACCATGGATACTGCTCTCTCCTTCCAGGGCTCCTTGTCCACTTCCATCAAGCTGGACTCCGTTGAGTGGTTTGAGGGGAAAATAAAGGAATTTTGAGTTTCATTGCAGCTCTGCCAGCAGAGTCAGGATGATGGAGATGCTGTAGGGACAAGTCAAGGAGTCAGCAATGGCCTGAAGCAAACACAAGAGCTGCCCAATTCTGCTTTGACAAAAACCTCTCCTTTCTCCCAAGTGGAGAGTCAAAGGATTATTCTGGGAAGCAGCAGCTCATTACTGCACCAAAGCATGGGGCTGGGTGACCCCATGGGAACTGAGATGCCCCTGATTTCTGCAAGGCTGGGATCCCATCCTTCCTTCTCTCACCAAATTCCCCTGACAAGCCTGGAAGCAGCCCCAGCCCAGCAGCTTCACAAAGAGCAGCAGAAGCTGGTCAGAGCCACCTGCCCTGAGCACCCTGGGCTCCATTCCAGCCTCCAGAAACCATTTTTGGGGTCAATGGGAAGTTCATCTGGGCCCTCAGGAAAGAGGAACTCACCCATCCAATTAACAGCTCAAACACTGCTGCTTCTCATCCTTGCAGCCTCCCAGTGCTGGGAAGGGTCTCTAGGAATCATTGATGGCCAGGTGGAGCTGTGGTTATCAGCATGACTGCAACACTGTGCTGGGAAGAAATGTCCAATCCATGAGGAACAACGAGTTCCTCCTTCCCTCCTCACACAGGAGCATTCTGACCCCCTGTCTCTCTCCTGCATGTCCTCCCAGCCCTGGACACAGACTCCCAGGATGGTCTACAAGCATTTCACAGGCTCAGTCCTGCAGTGGAGAAGTTGCAATTTCCCCAAGAATGCCTGGAATTTCCCCCTTTATGCAACACACGTTTGCAGGTTCCCGCTTTGATGGGGGAATATCTTCATTTTCCAGGGGAGTATCACCACACACGTGCTGTCTCTTTGAACAACCCAAGTCACCACCCTAAACCCAAGGCAGATGAATTGTTCTTCCTCCTTTTTAGGGCCTCTAAAACTCTGAAATATTTTTTAAGTGTGCATGTTTTGATTTAAACCTCACAGCTCAGAGCAGGCTCTGTCTTTTCTTCAGTTACTTATTTGCCACTTTGCAGGAAGTGCTGGGTTTTGCCAACTGGGGGAAAAAAACCCTCACTTTTTTATGATTATTATTAAAGCTTCATCTTATTTTGCAAGCAAAACTCCCATTTCTTGGTTTATTACCAGAGATGAGTGTTGCTTTAATGTTACATTATTTGATAAATGACTATATGAAGAAGGAGACATTTCAGACTTGGAACTGAAGATCTGTGTTTTGGAAGAAAAGATCTCTCCAGAGGTTATTTGTGCTTTCAGTTTTTAACAAACTGAGCAGCTTGAGGAAACTTCTCCAACCTGAATGTTGGATTTTTGCTAGAATAAACTCGGTGCATTTAAAGGTGATTAAAGTGGTGGTCAACAAAGTAATTTCTCTCCTGTGGCACCCTCCTAGGAAGAGCCTGTCCTGTAGGGATCACCTTCCCTGGAGCATCACCTGCTCTCCTGCTGGTTGCTGATCTCCAGCAGTTTCTGCTGGAAGCTTCTAAGGATGACACTGATCACAAACAGACACCTCCAAGTCAGGAGATTTCTGAGTGCCAGCCTGCAGCCAGGGCCAAACCCTCAACTGGATGGAAAAGTGAGGAAGTGGAGAATTTTTGAACAGAGTCTCAAGCAGCCATTTCCAAAGCTCAGCCTGCCAGCACACTGCCCAGCCCGGCCTCGGGCTCCCATGGAAAATCACAGCCTTTGGGAAAGCACGCAGGTCCTTTCTCCCTGTCAGAGATGCCGAGCCACAGCTGAGCCCCGGGTCCCTGTGCTCGGTGGGATCGGAGCACTGCCATCAGCAGGGGAAGGAGCAGAACTGCCGCCTCCGGGCAGGGATTCAGGCTCTGCACCCCCACCGCTCCAGGTTCTGCCCCTTAGCACTATTTTGCTAATTTTAGTGCCCTTCACCACTGTTTTGCCTGAAGGACTTCACCCTTTAGTGCAGCTCTCAATATACTTTATTCTTGAAGGCAAAAAATATTGTCTGTCACTACCTGCAAATTCTCATCAACATCCCTGCTGCACCCCCAGCTCACAGGCTCTTATTCCAAGACAAAAATCTTCTGCCAGATAAAATATTTCTTGAGATTTCCCATCTGCGGATCTCAAAGTGTGGATCAGTGTTCAAACTGCATCGAGGTTTGCCTTGGCCTCAGCACAAATGTCAGGCAGAGGATGAAGTGAGAGACTTCCTAGGAACACATTCCAGTTCAACACACAAGCAACATCAGAAAGCCAGTGTCAGGAAGAGATCAGAAAACAGGATTCTCCCTCCAAAAGAGATGCCAGGCTGTTGATTTCATTTCCTCCTGATTTCAGGTTGAAAGGAAAAAATAAAAGTCAGATCCTGAGATAGTTCACAGAATGAAAATTCTGAGATATTCCAAGATAGAATTATTTACTTTGATGTGCAGCCCAAAAATAGGAACCAAATTGAGTCAGGATAAGTACAAGGCCAAAGTGAAAGGGCAAAATAAACATTTAATTTCAAACTATGTCTGAATCTCCTCTGACACTCAGTTGAAGGAGGAGGATTTGTTTCTGCAGCACCTTCCACCACAGGCAAGACAGTAATTCTTAGGGAAACCTCTTCCTGTTGCCCTTTGAATTCAGGAAACCAAGTATCCCCTGCTCAAAATAAATTCAGGGAAATACGACAAATTGTAACCTCTCAACCGGGACAAAATACACAAAATACAATTTTGAAACTGTCTCCTCTGTGTGTCCCTTTTGTCTCAGTTCAGGGCCTTATCTCCGGAATTCAGGATACAGAAACCAGATTGTTCCCTGGAAGACCTGGGACTCTTTAACAGGACTGAAGGAAGACGAGCAAAATCCAACAGACCTGGGAAAGCCGCAGGAAAAAAAAATAAAAATCTCCTGGCAGGAAAGAAAAATCAGCATAAAGCAGTGATGCTGGGTGTGCGCCATTCTAGCCTTGTTTCAAGCTCCAATGCACTGATTTATGATTCAAATGGAGGGGGAGAGGAGAAAAAGCTCTTTTTTTCCTGGTGACCGCAGCCCTGGGATGGTTTGGGAGCAGCAGCGACATCGGCCCGAGATCCGCATCCTTCCAGTGCCCTCTGGTGGCGGCCGCTCCCGCTGCAGCGCCGGGGATGCGCGTTCCAGAGGGGGAATGGTCACCCAGGGATGCGGCAGCAGCCGGGCCTCGCCTCAGGACGGCGGGATAACAGCCGGCATTCTGTCCCGCACCTTCATCCGCGCAATCCCTCCTCTCTGAGCACACCCATCTCATTTCAGACCGACTTGAGGCCTCACCTCCCGCAGCAGTGACTTTTGGCACCTCGTTAAATCTCACATTAAAGTCTCTTTCCCACCTGCTTTCTGACAGAGCCAAAGAGGAACCAAACCTCATGCTGTTAATCCCTTCCTGAGTAGCAAGAATTTCATCCTGCAGTATGCACTGGGCACAAACCAGGATCCTCAAGGCATGAAAAATGAGCCAACTCCTTCAAAAACCTTACTGCAGGCCGTGTCCCCTTATAAACCCTCACCACAGGCCACGTCCCCTCAAAAACCATCACCACAGGCCACATCCCCTCAAAAACCATCACCACAGGCCACGTCCCCTCAAAAACCATCACCACAGGCCGTGTCCCCTCAAAAACCATCACCACAGGCCGTGTCCCCTCAAAAACCATCACCACAGGCCATGTCCCCTCATAAACCATCACCACAGGCCATGTCCCCTCATAAACCATCACCACAGGCCGTGTCCCCTCAAAACCCATCACCACAGGCTGTGTCCCCTCAAAAACCATCACCACAGGCCACATCCCCTCAAAAACCATCTCCACAGGCCACATCCCCTCAAAAACCCTCACCACAGACCACGTCCCCTCATAAACCATCTCCACAGGCCACGTCCCCTCAAAAACCATCACCACAGGCCGTATCCCCTCAAAAACCATCACCACAGGCCATGTCCCCTCATAAACCATCACCACAGGCCACATCCCCTCAAAAACCATCACCACAGGCTGTGTCCCCTCAAAAACCATCACCACAGGCCACTTCCCTCCAAAAACCATCACCACAGGCCGTGTCCCCTCAAAAACCATCACCACAGGCCGTGTCCCCTCAAAAACCATCACCACAGACCATGTCCCCTCAGCCTCAAGCAGTGCCACAACAGGCACCACAGCTGGAGGAACACCAGATCTCCATGAGGGAGCGCAGCTGGAAGGATTCTGGAGGCTGGGAATGTGCCCTCACAGGATTGCCAGCTTTCCATCTGCAGGCTGTGGGCTCTCCAGGGAGGTCAGTGGCTGAGGACCACGAGCACAGGAGGTTCTGCAAGCACAGCCAGGTGTTGCCGTGGCTGAAGAGAGAGGCTGGGAAAAGATCCCATGGGCTTGCCAGATCTGATAGCTCGGTCAGCAGCACAGCTTGTACATGCAGGGAGATTAAATAATACGTCATCAAAAAAGGGTTTGCTCTGGGCAGAAGGATGGCAAGGAGGACTCTCAGGGTCTGCTTCTGTGCACAGTGACATTTTCTAAGACACAGAGACTCCTTCATCATTGCACCACATTCAAGGAATGATCTGGGTATGGGTTGCTCAATTTTAAACACCTTGAATGCTGACCTACAGTACAATCTAGTCCTTTTCCCAGGGATTGTAGCAGCATGCAAAGCCCTTCATATGCATGATTTTGCCTGTTCTTTCAGCCTGTTTTGATGACTTGCTCTATTTCCACAGCAGGCAGGCCTGAAAAGATACCCTGCCTCTAATTTCTATTTAATTCTAGTAGTATCAGCATTATGTGATCCCCAGTGAACTCCAAATGATCCCTTTGTTCCTCCACATTCATGGCAGAGTAATTCCAGACTAAACATTAAGAGAGCAGATTAAATCCAATCTTAATCCCATTCCATTGGAAGGGTTTGTCTTGAGATTTACCCCCAGAAAGAACAGACCCCTATTCTGACCTAGCAGGGTTCCCATGCTGAAAACCATCCCACACCATCTCTCCCGGACATGACTTTTCCTTACACATACAGAACAAAATGTCTCTGTGCAGTGTGATATTCCCAAATGTTATTTGCATTCATGATAACTGCAATTTACTCTTCAAAATAATCCACACTAACACCAAGGGACTAAAAATGGGAGAAAAGAGTGGGAGGCACCCCAGGCAAAGCTGCTTTCCCATCCAAAGACCCCAAAGAAACTCAGGAGAAGCAAAAAACTTCAGTTCCTTTTGGTTGTCCCCATTCTTGACTCCTCCAGAAAGGATTAAGGTGAATTTGATTCTATTGTAGCCCTTTTTTGACATCCTTCCCTCAGTGTGGAACAGTCAACTTTGTTTTTGGTCCTGCTGAATGGTAAAATCCTGCACAAGGGAAAGCAGAGACAAAGGATTAGGGTTTGGGTTTGTGCCTGTCATCTCAGGCTCTGGTCCTGTAAAACTGGAAGGAGGAGTGAATCCCTAGATTATTTTTAAGAATTATATCTAGCTTCCCTCTTCTATACCCCTGTCTCTAAGCAAGAAACAAGGAAAGCATCACATCTTGCCTTTCTTCTGCCAGCTGGCAACACCTTGGCATCCCAAAACCTTCCACATTTCCCCTGAAATGCATAATTCCCTGTTAGACAGGGCTGGACAATGACCTTGTTCATCTGACCTGAATGCAGGACAAGACTCAGAGCCAGGGGCTGTAGAAAACCCAGGTTCTTCACCCCTCAGCCAGCTCTGGAGATCCACACAAGCCCAAGATCCAAGCACAGGTTCCTTTGAGTGACAAGAGGAAAACCCTCCCTGACATGAGCCTGTTTGCAGCCAGCAGAAATTCCAGCCAGGAGGAGCAGGAGGGAGAACAAGAGTTCTACAGAGCCAGACCTGTAATGCCAGTTGTACAGCACCTATGCACAGAGCTGAGCCTAAGGCTACACTCTCACTGCTCCCCAAATCTCCCAGTTTTATGCATTTCTTCCGAACTTTGATGCAGGATCTATTCCTCAGATCCAAATCCCTGCCTGAGGCACGACAGGACAGAGTGAAAGTTCCTTTCTGAGGCTGGATTTCTCCACCTCCAGCCTGTTTGTGCCATCCCACCCATTTCCCAGCCCTTGCCAGGAACATGAGTTTCTGCAAGCTTGTTCTTGTGCAAGACACAGCCCTGCAAATGGCAGAAAATGTGCTTTGTTCCCAAGTTCTGCCTCAGTGAAGGCTGGAGGTGGAGTGAGAGGATGTGCCCAGGGAAACCTGGCTTCAAACAACCCTGCTTGTCACTGCCACATTCCCTGAGCCTTTTCCAGCCATGCAAAACAACCAGGGAGGAGAGGGGATGCTCCCAGCACTGCCTGAAGCCACTGACCTGCTGGGGAAATGCTGGGTGCACGAGGATCAGGATGCTTTATTTGCAACCCCATCTCCCAGCTCCTGCTGAGCCTCCACACAGGTTCCCCTCTGCCACAAAAGCAGCTACGTGACCTCAGTCGAGTCCCTGCTCTGTCACCAGACTCCCAGGAGGGTGAGAAAAGACAAAACCCTTCAGGACAGGGACTGTCTCACCCTGAATTCCAACCGGATTTCAAACCTGCCAATGCCTGGCCCAAATAACCTGGGATCACTTTCGAGGTAAAACCGTGCTGTTTGCAAATCCCTGCTTCCAGCCAGCTGGTGAAGACCTTTGGGAAGGAGGAGAGACATTTAGATGCCTGGTGAGGCTGGAATGAAGGGAAGCAAGAGGCAGATAAGCCCTGGCACACAGCTCCTCCCCAGGCACTGCACAGAGCACAGCTCCAGCAGCTCTCAGCACTTTGCCAGACTTGCAGCTGGCACAGATGGGCCAAGGTGTTTTCCTCTCCCTCCTCCCAAAGCTGGGAGGGAGCAGACATTTCCTCACAGGCAGCACAGGGCCCCAGGCAGGCATGCCAAGCTCGAGCTCACCCACAGCCCTTCCATCTCCCCTGCCAGCACAGAATTTCCAGGTGATAGATGAAAAGCAAACGCCTTAAACCAGCTTGGAATTGGAGTCCTGTGAAAGCAGAGCTCCCAAAAGGGAATCTATATTGAAAGAGGGGGGCTTTAAGCAAGAGCCTTGGGACCAGACCTGCTGCCAGGGACACCAGCACCCACTTGGCTTCTTTCCATTACAACTACCCTGGTTCCATCTATGCCAACCCTGCAGAGTGAACCCCTGATGGTGACAAAAGACAATCCCAGGGATAAACTGCATCCATGGAGGAGGGAATGAGAACCATGGATGCAGCACAAGGAGCACAAATACAGGACACTGCAATTGGATTCTTATACCCACCTTTTTTGAACATCTCTGCTTTTAATTACATGTTTTCCAATCTTCCTCTAGTCTCCCCACCCCATTCTGTGACTCATGGCTTGGACTACTGAGCAAAGATTCCTAGGATTGCTGCTGCTGGGGGGAAGATACCACCAGTATCAGAATCCAGGTGAAATCCACACAAAAAGGAGGACAGATCCCCCTGGCTGCACAGCAAAGATACAAACACAGGGAGAGGATTAATCTAAAGAGTTGGCTTAGGTACAAGCAGCATCACAATTCGTCTCAAGGTTCTACTGCTAAGTCATGTGAGAAAATTCAAATGTTAAAAGATCCAGAAGTTTCTTATTCAGACTCAGAGCTGGTTGAACACCCCACTTTGGCAGGGTGTTCCCCAAATGGTACTTTACCAAGAGAACACTCAAAAAAGCACAATTCCTCCCATCCTCTCACCCACAGCTGCTCATGTAGCAAATTCCCATCTCCTGAGCTCTCCAGACAGAGATATGGGACTCACTGATTAAACTTTGGACGTCTTCCCCTAACCACACTGCTTCAAAATAATCTAAGAGGCAGCAATCAAAGATATTTTCATTTCTAGCTTCAAAGAGGATCCTCCAAACAAAAGGAAACACTTCAGTAAAGCGTGTATAAACTGGGAGCATCTGGTCTTTCCCCAGCAGCACTGAGCCTTGAGATGGAAATGCAAGTAAAGAGCTCACAATGAAATCAGATAACAAATAAAATGTCTTGTATGGGGACAGCTCTTCCTTAGAGCCCCTTGAGTGTTTCTCTTCTTCTTCTACAGAGGCAAAGCCCCGTGGAGAGCAGCACACACCTGGCTCAGCCCATTGCATTTGTCTCAGGAAAGCGGCTCTTTGTTCTCTGCATCAGGCACTGGCAGGAGGCAGGAACCATCTGCTCCTCCAGGGATACAGATCCTGCAACTTAATGGAAATGCTCCTCTGGGTCAAGCGGCAGAGCCAACTGCTCTCTTAATGCAACCATCTTCATTTTGGGGAGGGAGTGGGATCAATTAACAGCCTCTGAGCAGGGCAGTCTCCTGGTGAGCAGTCACCTGTCAGAGCTCACACCCAGCTTTTTAGTGCACCCAGGCCAAGCCTCCACCCCACTGCCTGCAACAGCTCTGCTGCAACCTCTGCCTTCATCTGGAGCGCCCAGAAAGCTTCAGGGGGAAGCTGCAGCCCCACAAAAGCATTTGCTAAACCAGCAGGAAAAGATAAATCCACTGACAGGGACACAACCTGTCTGTGAATAAGAGAGCAAATACAAGCTACAGAGCACAGCCACAAGAAAGCAGCTTCTTTCTGGACAGAGACACTTTCCTCATCCATGATATCCTGGGTGAATATTCCCCTGTTGCTTAACATACTGACATCACAGAAACTTCACAGCTTCATTTCTCCAGCTCCCTCACCATTCAAAATGTTCACAGCTCAATTACTCGAAATTAGCCAAGAGATCCCTCTGCTTCTGTGAACTCTGAGATCTCCGAGACAAAGCTGAAGCACATCCCAAAACTTGCACTTCTAGAGGGGCAGTTTGGAAGCATCTCTAAATATAACTAGCCCTGATTTTCTCCAAACAACTTAGAAATTCATATGGTGCCTAATTAACCTTGTCACAAAACTACATCAACAAGTCCTAAAAGCACCAGGAGTGTTGCTACCCGCTCTCCATCTTAATAACAGCAGTCTGGCTGTGTATCAGAAAAGGAACCACTGATTAACTCTTGGATTCAAATTATCTGTGCCACATAGCCCAACTCCTGAAGCCAACTTCATTTTTAGAATGCTTTTTGCCCAGGTAGTTTCCAAACAGAACAGTAAATCACTGATCTCACCGAGCAGAGCTCATTTCGCAATTAATTCTCTCTCTTTCTGTGGGACAAAGACTCCTTGCTCCAAGTCAGGAGATCAGAATGTGGCCTGCAGGGCTGAGAGCTTGGATAACAGCTAGAAAATACCAATACACCCCTGCCTTGAGCCTCATAAATAACAACGAGCATGATAGAGGTGAGTAGATCATTACAGACACAGAGGGACTCAGGTGTGTTAAGCACAGCAAAGCTGTGAAGTGTATTAAGGGATTTCAGGGTGTGTAGGGATTGCTGAAATGCAATTATCTGGGCAGAGCAGAGGGCAGCACCTGCTTGAGCAGTTGTAGGTGCCAGGCTTTTAGGATAGAGAATCAGGGAATGGTTTGGTTTGGAAGGGACCTTAAAGACTCTCCAGCTCCAACCCCCTGCCATAGGAAGAGTCTTAGTGAAGGTTTCATCCAATTCTTCATCCATGAAGGTTTAATTCAATTAAAGCCAAAAAGTTATTTAATAAACCAACAGCACATTATCAAGACAAGGTGTGAAAAATGCTACAGCCTCTTCAGAGTAATTGACAGGGAGGAGACAGAACCAGAGAATATAAAGGCAATAAATGTCAGTGAAGAAACTAAACCCCCAGTTCTTGTAGAAGTGTGAAGCTCTCACACCTTCTCCAATGAAGACCAGCTCAGAAACTCTGTCTTAATATTTCAAAGGATTTCATACTGAATAAAATCCATTTCTAAGCTAACACAACTGCTGTGTGATCATTCACAAATATCTGTACCTATTCTTGTTAAGAAATGCCACTGAACTTGGTGTAAGAACTGACACCCATGGTGCTCAAGGGATACCCCCAAGTCACATTCAATGCCTCAGGTGTGATTTCTGCTGTAAAACTGTGCAATTATATTATTTTGGTTTGGGATTTCCCCCCTCTTCAAGGTGAGGGAGGATGGGGAAAGCAGTAGAGAAGACCAGCAATTGAGAAACCCTTCTGTCTGACCAATTAACAATACAAGACTTTCTGAACTGTCACAAATTCTACCCAGTATGAGTCCCTGAAGCAGCTACTGACAGGGAGTCATGGGAGTTCAGTTGATCTAAACCAGACCACACAATCAAAGTTTTTACTATTTTTTTTTAAACCAAGAGAAGAAACACGGTGCCAGTGTTTTGTTGGAAGAGATCCTGGGGTAGAAGCTGGACAGTCAGACCTACAGCTGTGATCCAAAAGAACTCCTGAGCTGACACAGGAGCTCCTGATGCAGCTGAAAACATTTCCAGGAGTGCTTTCAGAAGCAGAACAGCTTCTGCATGAGCAGCCCAGGCTGTACAAGAGCCATACAGAGAAACACAGATGGGCTCTGAGGTCCTGGCCTGAAATCCCAATTTATCCTGGTGGGCCAGGCCTTCCACACACTGAACCTGCTGGAATCATTGTTCTATCCTGGCTAGTGACCAAAACATTTGTCCAGTGCATGGAAGAGCCCTTCTGAGGGAAGATGTTAAATGCCAGCAGGGAGCTGCAGCCTCCCTGAGTTTCACAGCTTGGGGGGAATTCTCCCATCTCCATCCTTCATTCCCACTCAAGCTTCTAGGGAAGTTAAAGGCAACAAATTTTAAGCCAACACCATTTTAACAGTAAATCCTGACTAATAAAACAATAAACATTCCTCAGCCTGCTCTGTTTAAACCTTCCTGCTTTCCCTGCATGTCAAAAATAGACTTGTGCCATCACTCAAGGCTCTGGTGTTTTTAACAATGCCATCCAGCTATGGGTGAAAGATTGCTCAAGTCCATTTAAGCACCATCTATCAGTAATTCCCACTGCAAGCCTGCATTGCCATTACATGCCCAGCACAATCCAGCAGATTGGTGCTTCCAGCAGATTCATTCCAGCTTTCAGAGAGAAGGAGGTTCTGAATTCCCTGGAGCATCTGCAGCTGGCCTCAGCCTCTTGGAGGATGTTTTCACTAATTGAAATTAAGACAATCATCAGACCATGGATTTGATTAGAAATGCTGCTGAGTCTCACTTGCTTTCCCTCTCAATTCCCTCCCTCCCCACACACAGAAGAGCAGAAGGTGCTTTAGTCCAACTTCTATTTTTGTTAAAGCAGACATTAGTCTTGTTTCCACTAAAATCTGGAAACCCAGACAGGAGTTTCAGCATTAGGCAGGATGTAAAGAAATCCACTTCTTGCCAGGACTTTGTGCTTCTCTAATAACTTCAAGAAATGCAAAAAAAAAACCCCAAAAAAACCTGAATGCAGAGCCAAAACACACCACTTGGTCTCGCATGGGATCTGATCAAACATCCAAAGGCATTTGAAATTCCAGGAAGGCAGAGCTTCCTCATTCTTAAGGAGCATACCAAAATGTACAGAAGGAATGAATTTATTTCATTCCACATCCCTCATGATTTATCCCCATGATCAACATAACCCAACAGTGCCTCTATTCCAGGCACTTACCTGCAGTCTATGGGAGATACAGGACACCATTCAATTAAAAGATAATAAAATATGTTCAACATTTGTTTGTTTGAAATTCAAAAAGGGTTTCAGATCTATCTGCTTAGCCCATCTCCTCCAAAAGCCATAAATCTCCTCCAGCTAAACCAAACCATATTCCCATGTTTAAATCCAAGGAGTGAGCTCAAAGACCAGAGGAATTTGCAAGCACCAGCCCTTTTCCTCCTTCCCAACATCTCCCATGGCCTTTGACAATTCTCAAAACTCCACCTTTCAGGAACAGAGGGACTTCTTCTCTTTTATGGGGGAGATGTTTTTTGAAGGACATTTTGCTTCTGGTGTTTGCACAAGAGCATGCGAGGGCTGAAAAGGATCTGACTTGATCCCAAAAATACTAATAAAAGGCAGGGATATTCCATGATGATAGCCAGCACTCATCTGAAAGTCACCCTGAACATGCAGCTGGGTGGAGGAAGTCATTGATAAACACCCAGCTGATATCTGAACCAGACAGCTGAGTATCAGACCCAGGCAAGCAGCACTGAGCACAGGAATAGGGAAAAAAAGATGGATTTCTGAGCAGTTCAGACACAAGAAACAAGCAGCACATTGATCCTGGCTGCATTTCCCACAAGGATCCTAAAATACCATCACCCAACCTTCCTGAAAAGGCATCAAAGGTGATCCTGCAGTACAACCCCATCTCGGGGGAAGGTTCTCCAAGGAGATAAGGCCTATCAGCTGGAAAAGCAGCAGCTGGCTCCCATGGAATGGCAAGGTGAAATAGGATGCTCAAACCCAGGAAGCTCAGGGAGGAATGAGTCCAGAAATCCTTCCCAAGAGCTTGGGATGTGCCTCATCCCACACTGGGCACAACTCCAGGGTGGGGCATCAGGCATCCCGTTGTACCATGAGGATGCTGAATCCAAGGGCTCATCCTGATGGGCAGGAATTAGCTCTGAGGTGCTGGTGCTATCCCTGAGCAGCCTTTCAATCCCAGATTTTAAAGGAAGGCAGAAATAACCTTCAGTGTTTAGACTTTAAACTCTTGGAAGATGCAGCCTCCTCCTGGAGAGCAGGAGGTGCCAACTAAAATGAGAATGACACTGTGAAAGGAAGCCACTGGAATTTGTTCCAGGGGAAGGTTTAATCCCTCCCCACACCACCACTCCTCAGAGCAGGAGGAGGGAAAGCCAAGAACAGAAAAACTGAGAACAAGGCAGAGAGCTTTGTGCATTTAAAGCTCTTTTGCAATCCTCAAATACTTCGGCTTCCCTGAGGATCCATCATCCCTCCTCCAGACAAGCAGCAGCGAGGTGGTCTCCCCCTTCAGAGGGCTTTGGATGATAACCAGCAGGAACATTACATTATGTCTGAGCTTCAAGGACTGAGTATTCCCACAGGATTCATGGATGGCAACGCCAAGCCAGAAGGATGCATTTAACAGTTGCTCAAGTTCTGGCACCTGCACGTATTTCCTTATGATAAAGTCCAACACAGGCAGGCTTCAGATGTTGTGTAAATATTGTCAGCACTCTGGCAGAGCTCCCCTTCTTTATGATTTGTTTTACACAATCCCCAAGTGTTTCATAAACACTAATTATATCTCCCCATTCCTCTAAACGAGCGGCGAGTGCTCCACGCAGGAGGAAACAAAGGCAAAGCGAGGCTCTGCTTCTCACCAACAAGGTGAGCAAGCTGGGGGAGCTTTATCTCCTCTCACAGGTGAGGCCACCACCTGACAGGAGATGACATTTACTGAGATTTAGCACTGTTAACACCTCAAATAAGATTTAAAGTTTCCAGAGCAACAGGCTGAACCCCGAGTCCAGCATTAGGAGCTTCCCATTGACAGCTTAATTTCTCCCAAACACAGAGGGAGCTTCCCTTCCAGCATCTTGTCATAAACTGTCCCACCCAGCTCCTCAGACTGTGGATGGGGTTCCTGGGCCATGGATCCTCTCCCACATCTTGCAGCTATTTTCAAAGCAGTGACAGTACAACCAGTTCTGTCCTGGCACAGAGATTTCTCCTTTGCATTTTGCCCCAGTCCATAACTCCACCAGGCTGAAGACATCACCTGGGTCCGTATTTCCCTGAAGACTCTTCTGTCAATTCCTGTGAGCTTGCCAGCCCTCTTGGAGTGCCACCAGATATCAAAAGAACCAAGAGCACCACAAATGAGATTGGAGCTCAGGAGAGCACTCCCAGAATTTCCATGGGAGCACTTATTCTGTGCAAAGCTTTTATTTTATGATTCATGACTAATTTGCAATAAACCCCAGCTTCAAGAAGTCACTTTGGTACAGAGCACTCCTCTGTTTTCCATCCCCTACTGCTGAGCCTAGAACTGGGTGTTGTTTGTCAGAGTGATGGGTGTTGTGAAGATGAACTGGGAGATTAAACACAAAAACATTTTAAGGGAAGATAAATGGACACGATATCCTTGGCAAAGAGCAAGGCCTCAAATCTTAACAATATGTTTCTTCATCACCTGGACGAGGATGTTTCAGCAGCTGGAGATAAGTGGAACACGACCAGTTAAGCTCTTCCCTGCCCCTGGAGCCCAGGGAAGCTGCAGCGAGCAGTGCAAAACCACATCAGCTCACATCAGACACACTGCCCACCACACAAGGCATTTCAGAGCCAGTGGAGCATGCTACGGAGCTCTGGGGATCTGCATTTGGACATGAAACCAACCTTAAAGAAAGGTTCAGAGGCGGCTCTGCTAAAAGGAAAATAAAACTATTGATTTTTGCTAAGCCTTGACAATTCCCCAGCAGCTCCCCATCCCCGTTTCAGACAATAAACCAGTAACAAGCTGCCACTGACAGGGAACACGGCCACAGCTCTCAGGTGGGCTCCAGTGCCAGCACTGCTGGGATGTTTTAACTCCCAGAAGGAGCTCTTTTCAAACTCCAGCACGATCCAGGCATGGAAGACTACACAAGCTGGAGGAAGGCTGGGATGCCACCTGAGCCCTGAGTCTGCAAGAAACCTTCAAAACACACCTTACAGGGAATTAAAGCTCACCAAAGGCACCATATTTGAGCTAATTGCTTTAGCTCTAAGGAAAATGCCACAAGACATTAAATCTGCTGCTGACTCTCACTCATTTGCGTGCCTGATCCCATTTTCCCTCTGATCCCTCTGATTTGGAAGCAGCCAAAAACTTCCCAGCACCTGCAGCCTGTGGCACTGAGGACTCAAAACCAGCCTGTGCCATGCAGGCAGAAGCCTTCAGTAGTGCTTGGGACAAGGCAAGGAATTTGACAGGAAACACCCCAGCATTCCCATTCTCTCCCATATTTCCCATTCAGCCCATTGCACTCAGCCATGGGCAGCAGTTCATGGCCTCTCCAGCCACCCCCACTCCAGCCACATTTCCCAGCATCTCCTGCATCCCTGTCCTTCCTCATCTTCCCAAATGAGGGGAAACCCCATGAGTGAAGGGGAGGGTTTATCATTTATGGCCCTGCAATGCCTCTTAGGGACAAGAGTCTGCCACAACAGGCAAGTTCTGCACCATTAACCAGGGCTGTGAGCTCTCCAGAGACACTCGCCCCAAAACAGAGAGGTAAAACACACCTAATTCAGCTGAGAGTGACTTAAAAATAGTCTAAACCAACAGAGATTGTTATATTTGTAATACAGAGGTAAAATTCCATATACTACATAATCTGATCTCTTTAAAAAAATAGTTTACAGTGGGAAAAACTCCTTTTATACAGAAACAGGTTACACCTAAACAAGCTTGAGTAAGAGGAAAAAGGGATAAACAACTTCACCCTTACTACAAAGCACAGCTGACAGGAGGTTTAATACTAGCATTTGGGCATCAAAATCTGCAAACATTTACAGTGCTCTGACATGAAAGCAGCAGGATTTGGGGCAGAGGTTATATTTTTATTATGCCTGGCACAAAAAACCCCTCCACTCAACAAAAGCCTGAGAAAGATTTTGCAAGATCAAGAAGCCAGGACAGACTGCTTGCATCAGATCCATCTCAGGGACACCCTGATCCACTGAAGACAAAATTTACATCCTAAATTTCTTAATATTCACTTTATGGTCAAATTGAATAAACCCCACAGATTTTCTGCTGCTACCCCCAGTAGTCTGGATTAAAAGGCTGTGCCAACTCAGCAGGCAGACTCCAGCTGGGCTCAGGATGAAGCATGTGCTCACCAGTTTGCTCTCTAATTGGAGCGGTTTGCGGCGCTGCACCTTACACCAGGATTAGACTCCAAAATTCCAGGCTCAGGCTTTGTTAGCAAGGCTTGCCTAACT